AAAAGTGAGTTTAAGTAATCTGGAAATTTCATTCAGACAGAAGATCGTTTTGCCAACCAGACAGACAAAGGAAGCTCTATGTTATTGTGCATTTTCCCCAAGAAAGGCTAAACGATATAAAAAATTAAGTTTTTGAAGGACCTGCTATCCCTGGAAGGGAATGACGTGTTTTCATAAAATGCTATATGAATACTGAGAGGAGAATAAAAGTAAAATTACTTGAGATTCTCCTCACAACTCGGTGCAGAGTCCACTTAAGAATCAAGGTCTTCCAACTTCCAACCTTGAACTTTATGCAGACAATTTACTGGCAAAATCAGATGGCACATTTTTCACACACAGAGGACCAACGTTGAAGGAAGATTCTAAATAGTGGGGATAAGACTACCACTTTTTTGTTCCAGTTACTCCAGCTCCAGCCCCCAGTTGCTAAAGCAGCATTCATGGGGTCTCCTGCTCCTTGAGCTGCATCATAATGGACCACATGAAACTCCTTGTGTGTAGTCCAGGAGTGTACCATGCTATCTGCAGGCTCTGCTATCATCCAAAGTGTGAAAGAGCCATCAAGTATCTTTAGACTCTCTTGATAGCCACCGCTAATAAAAGTGCACCCCACCCCTGGGTTCAGACAGAGTTGAGGCTGCATCCTGCAAGGGACCTTGCTCTCAGTTCTCATCCATGAAATGAAAGATGGGACAAGATTGCTCCTAAAGCCCATCTCAGTTCTAAGATCCTATGAGTCTAAAACTATGTTATTACCAGTCATGATAGATACTATTGAACGGTCTTCCAATTACCTATTTTCTCGGGCTTCTTTTAAAATTCTTTATTACTGGACATTACTGTCAAAACAGGAAGAATCTCTATAATTCTATGTACTAAATTTGCTTAAAGAAACAAAAAAATTTGAATACCAGATTTTTGAAAGAGCCAGTTTTCTTAGTATTAAATATAGTCAGATAATATGTCTAAAGTATGTAATAAGTCTCTTAAAATGATTTTAAGACCAAAGTTTCCTATAATTAGTTATAAAAATATTGTAAAGAACTGAACCAAAATAAAACCAAATAAACCAGCTACTAAACTACACATATGTCTTCAAAATCTTATGGGAGTCAAATATTCCAGTAAAAATAACAGAAGAGATGGAAACACAAGTTTCTTATTATCACACTTCATATGTTATAAAACATAACAGCTAACTTATTTTTGGCAAAATGATTAGGGATTGCAACACTCTGGCTTACACAAACTTACTTGATTGTCAAACGCATCTTAAATGGAGCGTGTCATGCTAACTTCAGGCATGCAAGCACTGTGCCGTCTGAGAGTAGCCCAGAGACACTGAAATTTCAACACTTCAGCGGGGATCACACCACTGATATTAACCGGGCCAGGTGTTTAAAGAGGGGTGGGGGGACGTCAACAATGCAGTTAATTGAAACCAGACAAAGCTTTTGAATAATAATAATAAAAAAAAAACATACAGATGTTCACCCTCCTCCCTGGGTGACCTTTATGGACAATTTATTACATGCGTTATTTTCTAGAAAACACCCTTTTAAAGAAAACACAGTTTCGTATGTCTCTCTGAAAACTCTATAATCGTGGTATGAGTTATGCCTCCACGAACAGACTACGTTACGCTCATGTTTCATTTCCCTTTCCCCTTTTCACCACAGTTCCTGTAAGGGTGAGAACACCTGGAAGGAGAGCAATAATTAGAAAGCTCTAAAGCAAAAGGAGTTATAAGAAGCTGCATTTCCTTAAGACGCACTGTACTTCTTCCCCATTAGATACGTGAGTGCATGCCAAAAAGGAGAGATGGGTTCAAACCAATGTGTTGAACAACTGTTTGCAAATATGCATAAGAGAAACCATGCAGTACATGCAGAATCAGTGGGAAGCAAACAAAAAGCAAAAGGACAGATCGGTGATTAAGTTAATAGACTGTGAAGGACTTAGAAATAAGTATTTTCTTCCCTATGTTTATAGAACAGTGTATTTGTCAGGGTTCCCCAGGGATAAGGAACCAATAGGATATATATGTATGCATATATATGAAAGGGGATTCATGAAAGGAAGTGGCTCACATGATTACGGAGGGCAAAAAGTCCAACAATACGCCATCTGCAAACTGGGAATCTGGAAAGCCAGTGGTATGCATAACTTAGTCTGAGTTCACAGGCCTCAGAACCGGAGTTGCTGATGGTGTTAAGTCCTAGAGTTGAAAGCCAGCAAACCCGGAGCTCCAATGTCAGAGGGCAGGAAAAGATGGATGTCTTGGCTCAAGAAGAGAGAAGTGGGGGTGGGGTGGGGAGAGAGAGAGAGAGAGAGAGAGAAAGAGAGAGAGAGAATCCCCATTTCCTGAGTTTTGTTTTATTTGGAACCTCAGTGGATTGGAGGATGCCTGCTCACAACGGTGAGAGCAAATCTTTTCTCAGTCTACTGATTCAAAACGCTAGTCTTTTCTGGAAACATCCTCAAAGACACACTGAGAAATGTTTTACCAGCTAACAACTGATAACCAGTCCCTTAGCCTGGCCCAGCTGACACATAAAATTAACCATCACAAATAGTAATGCTCTCCTCGTTTCACACATGCAAGTATTCTTTTCTTCAAAGTCTTTTTTTTTTATTTTTAAGTTTTCAAAACACATGGGATAACTAATAACCCCAAATTGTATTTCACATCAGTTTGCTACATTTTACTGGACAGGACCAACTCACCTCTTACACTGGGAAGTAAACTGGGTATTTGAATTTCTATATATCTGTATGCTTGATCGTATACTGTACATGTGAAATACTAACTGGTAGTGGTGAGGTAAGCAGCTTCTGACATGACTCTCACTTCTCATGCTCATGCTCATGCTCCAGTGTGTTCTGCTCCTCTTTGGTGGGGGGCTGGACCTGGGGACTTACTTCTAACAAATGGAATACTGTACAAGTAATGGGATGATTTCTGTAATTAGGGGAGAGTCTGTGACTTCTATCTTGCCAGCAGACTTTCTAGGCTTTTCTACCATACTTCCTAATGAGGCCAAGTTAGAAAGACCCACATGTTAAGGAATCGAGGGTGACCTCCACCCAAGGGCCACTAATGGACCAAGGCCCTCAGTCCAACAACCCTCAAGGAACCGAATCCTGCCAACAACCATGTAAGTGAGCACATCCTTCCCAATTCCCATCTTCAGATGAGACTACAGTTCTGGAAGACACCTTAACTGCAGTCTTATGAGAGACCCTGAAGCAGAGGACCCAGCTACATTGTCGCCAGATCCCAGACCCACAAAAACTGTGAGAGGATAAATGTGTATGGTTTTATGCTATTACATTTTGGGGCAATTAATTACACAGCTGTAGATAACTAATATGGTTCTTAACCTAGTGACTGAGCCAATGATTCCACTGTCATTTCCACCGTAATAAGAACAGCTAATACCTATTAGGGAACTTTTAAGGCCGAGGTACCATTCTTAATTCTCCCTTGGATAACATATATTATCATCCCAATTTCACAGATGAGGAAATGGAAGTACAGAGATACTCAGTAACTTGTCCAAAGTCACACAGACAAAATACACAGCAAGTATATGAACCTAGGTGTCTTGGCTCCAGAGCCAGGGCTTTTGGCAACTGTGCAGACAGAACCATGGAATGGCAGGGCTGGGAACTATAAGGTAATCTCATCACATTAGAGGAGATTTAGAAGGCAAAAAAGAGATCAGGAGCCATGCAAAATGCTAAAAACAAAAATAAAGCCTTCCTTTCCAATTAAGACACCTTTTCTATGGAAAAAGAGTAGAAACAATAATACAGTGAATGGAAAACAATCTTGAATTTATTGAAATCACACTTAGAAATGAGAAATACATTTTTTTATACCCAATAAACAAAAATTAACAACCTCCATTCGGTATTAAAAACCACACCCAGGGAGGCTATAGTTATATCTTTCCTAAGAGCAATTGCGAGTGAGACCTAGTATGCCAAGCTGGTAGAAGAAAATTTCCAGGGAGCTCTGAAACTCCTCTTGAGACTTTCATCTTATGGAATGAGAAAAGTCAAAATCCTAGGACATAGAGATTCCAGGAAGGAATCACTTCCTATCTTGCATTCAGATTACGAAGTTAAATAGCATTCCCTCACACTCCCACACAATAGTAGTTATCAGACCTATGGGTTAGTGTGTCTTCCACTAGACTTTGGACTCTCTTGCTTCAAAGACTACCTTACTCACTGGGATATCCTTAAAACACAGCTCAGGGCCTGACACATGGCCAGTGTTCAATATGTGTTTGTTGAATCCAGAAATAATTTATGTTGTGAACTGCATCTATTCAATAGATCCTTTCAGTGGTACGTGTTCATTGAGAATAGGAGTTTCCATTTTGTTTTGAAGTCTCTTCTAGCTCACTAGATTTCTTGGGCACTTTAAATAGGTCTTTTTGTCTCCAGTATCTCACATAATATCTGACACCCAGTGGGACCCAATCATTTGTGAATGAATGAATTGAATGTCTCAAAAAGACTGCCAACCTATAGAATGGAGAAGGATCCAGACTTATGACTAAATAAAGATTTAGTGTTCTGTAAGGACAGCTGTTTGTTTACTGATGATGATGATATTGCAAAATATTTTCTCAATAAAGACAGATTCTTGTCCAGATCTTAGCTGGTGACTACTCTAAAATATTCCTTTATAAATGACAAGTTATATGCAACTTCCGAATTCCAGATAATCCTAGATTAAATGGCACTCATCTGGAAAATTTCTACCTCCTTCAGTATTATTTTTTGAAACACATGGAAACTGCATGAACATACACTCACATAGGCCCACAGTAATATGGATAAAGATAAAGGCAGCTACAGAATATCCACCTGTCTGTTCTACTTATCAGTTAAACAAGAGACAAAAGAGGGAAGGAAAGCTGAGAAGGCTTTGCGCAAGTGCGTAATCTGGCACCTACAATCACCTCGTGAGGCATACTTACTGGGAGTTCAGGAGCAAGCTTCAGAATCTCAAGGTTAATATGGCAGCCTATGGAATGGCCAATGACCACAAGTTTTGTTTCCTTTGGCACATGAGTTCTCAAGAAAGCTAGCTTGTGTTCCACTTGACCTTGTAGTCCGTAGATGTCGCTGATTTTTTGAGCATTTGAATCTAAAAGCAAACATATGAATATATTATCACTCAGTAAGGGAAAGTAATAAATTTACTGGGAAAACAATCTACAAACTAACAACTAACAACAACTAACTAACAACAACAGTAGTTGTTCCCATTTATCTAAAGCCTACAATATCTTAGCTACAGTGTTAAACACTTTATTTAAATTACATCAGCAAGTCTTTAAAACAGTCCTGGAAAGGATGAAAATCCCAAAGCTCATAGACATTAGGTGATAGACTGACAGTCACACATCTATGAAGGGAGAATGGTGACATTCAAACCCAGGTCTCTCTGGCCTCAAAATCCATGAATTTTCAATAGTCCATGAACTATAGTTAGCTTAGGCCACTAGCTCTCAAACTTGATCATGTTTCAGAATCCTCTGCAGGATTTAGAAAAGCAGTAACTGCTGGGCCCCACCACCAAACTCCATGATTCAGTAGGTCTGGGTTGGGGCCCGAGAATTTCCAAGTTTCCAGGAGATGTTGATATTGTTGGTCCCAGGACCACACACTGAGAACCGCTGGTTAGGCTATTTTATATTATTAATAGACAACTAAGAAAACCCATGACACTGCTTCATTATTTTAGATAATTTTTGTTTGTTGAAGAACTTAGACTGAAGGGCTTAAGGAGAAATGTTGTAAATTGTTCCTTTTAACCAGCAGTCTTAACCTGAAATATCCTTTCTTACTTTCATAAATGAACTGTCTTCTGAAATCTTCAAGAGCTAATTAAAACTTTATCTAGCTAATCTCAACGAAAAATGAATGAGCCTCCCTTTGTGCTTAACCAGCCTTCCCCACTCTTATTAGAGCACTTTATCATACTTGTATAATTGTCTGTTTATTTCCTCTCGTAGCCTGTGAGCTCCTTGGAGGCAAGGTCCACCTTTTCCTGTGTCCTCTGTGACAAGCACAGTAAATAATGTGGAGTAAAAAAAATGAACTCACTGGACATTCTCTGAGGATGCTGCCAGCTCTGGTATTCTATAAATATGGGAAATTCCAATAGGTTGTCCCTATGCACTTGTAATATTTCAAAATATCACAAGGTAGTAAATTGGTTATTAAAGTTTGAAATACTGGAATACTAAAATTCTTGCCACAATGTCACTCATTTGAAAGGTACCCAGAACCCATTGTGAAGGACTGCTCTTCAGTTTTATCTGTGTATGCTCTTTCCATATCCTTCGGTGCTCAGCTCCCCTTTGTTAATCTGGCTAACTCCTCTTCATCCTTCAAACTCCCAACAGCTATTATCTCCTCTGAGAAGCCATTTTATGATTCAGTGGGTGAGTAGTAAAGTAGCCTTCCTTTCAGCTTCCCCAATACCCCATGTTTATCTTACCACACTACTCCTAATTCATTCCTACTTTACAATTTATGTCTTGCTTATCTCTGTCCCCCAGTGCCTGGCATACAGTTATTGAAGACCTTTTTACTGAGTCAATGAGGCTTAGTTCTTTTTTTTCCATGGTATTACTGATCTCTTGGGTAAGATGTGCTCTGTACTCACCCTTCTTCCTAGGTCAGCCTAGAATCCATTCTTCATTTAACAAAGAATTTCAGCATAAAACAGAATGTGGGGAGAGAGAGGATCTGGAAGTCTGACTTTGGCAGGGCTCCTGATAGCTCCAAATGCAAATGTTCATTGAATATAAGAAGACACACAAATGGCTAACAGACACATGAAAAAATGTTCAACATCACTAGCCATCAGGGAAATTCAAATCAAAACCACACTGAGATACCACCTTACACCCATTAGAATGGCAAACATTGACAAGGCAAGAAACAACAAATGTTGGAGAAGTTGTAGAGAAAGGGGAACCCTCTTACACTGTTGGTGGGAATGCAAGTTGGTGCAGCCACTTTGGAAAACAGTGTAGAGGTTCCTCATCAAGTTAAAAATAGAGATACCCTGGGGCACCTGGGTGGCTCAGTGGGTTAAGGCCTCTGCCTTCTGCTCAGGTCATGATCCCAGGGTCCTGGGATCGAGCCCCGCATCGGGCTCTCTGCTCGGCAGGGAGCCTGCTTCCCTTCCTCTCTCTGACTGCTTCTCTGCCTACCTGTGATCTCTGTCTGTCAAGTAAATAAATAAAATCTTTAAAAAAAAAAATAGAGATACCCTATGACCCAGGAATTGCACTACTGGGTATTTACCCCAAAGATACAGATGTAGTGAAAAGAAGGGCCACATGCACCCCAATATTCATAGGAGCAATGTCCACAATAGCCAAACTGTGGGAAGAGCCGAGATGCCCTTCAGCAGACGAATGGATAAAGAAGATATGGTCCATATATGCAGTGGAATATTACACAGCCATCAGAAAGGATGAACACCCAACATTTGCATCAACATGGATGGAGCTGGAGGAGATTATACTAAGTGAAATAAGTCAAGCAGAGAAAGACAATTATCATATGGTTTCACTTATTTGTGTAATATATGGAACAGCAGGGAGGACATTAGAAGGAAGGGAAAAATGAAGGGGGGGAAATCAGAGGGGGAGACAAACCATGAAAGACTACGGACTCTGGGAAATAAACTGAGAGATTTAGAGGGGAGGTGGGTGGGGGGATTGGTTAGCTCAGTGATGGGTATTAAGGAGAGCACAGATTGCCTGGAGCACTGGGTGTTATATGCAAACAATGAATTATGGAACACTACATCAAAAACTAATGATGTACTGTATGGTGACTAACGTAACATAATAAAAAAATTTAAAAAAAAGAATATTACACTTGAGCAGTTTATGCTCCCCTCTTAGTTTATCTGCTCTGATCACTCCACCTAGAAGGGATCATATTATTTTCAGATACCCCAAAACAAGTATCTATAGTACCTGCAAACCAAATTCTTTATTTTTCAAAATAATGTTTGAAAATGTCAAAATCTTCCTTTCACTGGGACAGCATGGTGTAGTAACATCCTGGGTATTGGAGACAAGATGAATCTGGGTCTAAGTCCCAGCTGAGCACCTTACTAACTTGGTGGCTAGAGCAAATGTTTTAACCTGGCTTCAGCATCCTCTTATCTATAACAGAGATAATAATTCCACCCTCCTAAGAATGTAAGCATAATACTTTAAAATCACATAACACAAGTGTCTGGCATAAATTATGAGAGAAATGAAAGTTATGGCTGCTATCATTTCAATTTCTGTCATTTAAGTCCTCCCTCAAATATACACCAAGAACATTTACTTGGATAGTGCAAAGAAAAAGAAAATGAGGTAAATGTAGTAAACATTTTAAAACTTCACTGACACCAGAAATAAGGTTCTAAAAGATTATATTTCAGATGAACTTTAATGAACATTGTAATTCAAAAGATTAATCAAATGAGTATTTCAGAAGTAAATCTGGCTTTACCTCTGGGAACTGCTTAGTAACTTTCCGAGATAAAGAAATTACTTACTAGCATCTGCTGTTGTAATGAGGTTAGAGTAGAAGAAGATACTTTCTAGGAATAATGACAGCAAATATTGAATGTGCTATCTGGACATTATTTTACTAGCAAAAACTAAAGGTTAAAGGACTATATAAATCACTACATATTTCATGTCTATTATTATTTTAATATACTCTGAAAAAATGCTTGAAATCATTAACATACTTTCCATAAAATACAGTAAAAAAATATTCAGTTGTACCCAAATCAGAAGAATAATATAGAAATCACTTGAGCCATTCTTTCCATTGAAAAATACGCTTCAAGTTACAATCGACTAAGTATGTTTGAAACATAAAATTTATCAAGATATGGTCTTAAATATGATATTGACCATTCCCTTTTAGAACCTGACCCTATTTGGGGCACCTGAGTGTCTCAGTTGGTCAAGCGTCTGCCTTTGGGTCGGGTCCTGGGATAGAGCCCCAAGTTGGGCTCCCTGCTCAGTGGGGAGCCTGCTTCTCCCTCTTCCTCTGTAGCTCCCCCTGCTTGTGCTCTCTCGCTCTCTCTCAAAAAAAAAAATAAATAAATAAAAAAAAATAAAAAGAAAGAAAGAAAGAAAAGAAAAAAGAAAAGGAACCTGATCTATTTCTCTGATCCAGTTCTATGGAATTTACTTTATAGCTTACTTATTGATTCTGGAGTTTATTTCAAAAGGTACATATAATCTGTTCCTGCTTATCTCATAGAGGAATTAAGTAATACTAGTATTCCACATTTACTCTTCATCTAGTTCGAATTGATTGATCCAATTATTAATATTTGGTCAATTATGGATCAAAATATTATGCATCGCACACAGCTTCAGGACACAGGTATCTGATAACTATTATTTTGTGCTATTTCACGTCAACTAAATTGACCACTCTGACAGAAAACCATGACTAAATGGCTGGAGGTGACTTTGAAAATACAGATACAAATACAATGTATACTTCCCTTATCTTCAAGGAGTTCACAATCTAATAAGAGCCAACAAATAGATAAAAACACAATTATAAAACATTGAAATAAGTAAGATCTCAAGCATTTCCTTGAGAAAAGAACATACTTTTATTGCATCACAACCGAAAGGTAATGCCCCTTTGGATTCATGAAAACTACTGTGACTTTCTCTAAATGAACCAAGATAAATATCTAGAAAATATTCTTTACTAATGCACATTACTATAAATGTGTAACTTTACATACTTGAATGCAACCAGATGGCCTAAATTTAACAATACACACACATATATGTATGTCTAGGTACATACGGAATATAAATATTTAAGTTTTACTATGTATTATCACATAAGCAGTATTTATTTACAAGTCATCTGTGACCACAGAACTAACGAAATTGGAGATTAGTGCACATGAGCCTTCCACGAGGACTGAGTTTGCAGACAGTAACTCTCCAAATCTCATATCAGAATTTCTCAACTGGTGAACTCTCCCATCTGGCCCCCATCATTACTCCAAAGCTGTATCTTAATAATAACTTGATTATTATTAACAACCTACATGTGGAGATTAAAACATAGGCTAAAGGG